TATGAGAGTAAATAATTAAATCTTATAAAAAAAACCGCGGTAATAATAGCATCTTATGGCTAAAGTGAAATCTATTATCACATTATAATTACAATCCCATACATATGATACGCGTCATACGCCTCAGATATATAATAACTATTCTAAATTTTATGCGTAAGAAATTATTTTCAATTAGATCCTTTTAGCGTTTGAAAAGTTCCTTAAGGAGGATCCCTATGAGAAGATTCAAATTGCCTGAACCTGAATAGCCTAAGTGTAAATTATATGGTTCGTCAGACAAGTAAGAGCGACAAGGAGAGATGATTAGACATAGACCTCAAAAATCGCTCTAAAAATTAAGTAATTCTTAACACTCATTGTACTTACGGAACTCTCGAAGATTTCGGTCAGCCTACTCGTGGCGCTCTTGTTTTTCTTTGATCTTATCATCACGTATATCTTAGAGATATTCGGACAACTTCGCAGCAATTTCTCAATCAAGACCTTCCCGAGGAATCCAGTTCCGCCTAATTAATCATATTCCTCCATTATTGTTTGACCGATTACTTCAACTGATAGAACTGATTTTCAGTTTTTGATGTTATATCCGTCGTGAATTTGTTTTCAAATTTTCGTAAACATTTCAATGCATATCTTCAAGGAAAGGAACGAAACAAAACTGTTAATTGGGTCATCCAAGTGTTGACACCATTAAGTTTTTCTCATTTTTTGAAGAAAGGTATTGAAATGTTCGCGCAAAGTCGGAAACAAATTCTCGAAAAATGCGACAGTAATCCGGAATCTAAATCGAGTTCTTCCCCAAAATCTCAATATAGATATGTGTCAATTGTTATTTAACATTTCTTTGTTGATCACATTGCATATATACAATAATAACTTGTACAATAAATACCTGTTATGAAGATCGACTGGTTCGCGTAGAACTTTTGTATCGGCGTTTCTTGAACATTGGTCTTGTTCCTACAATGTACTATTTTGGATTGGTTGGAATCGTTAGTATCTAACAAATCGTCG